GCGGGTCTCGAACCCGTGGGCTCAGGCAATCCACTCACCTCAGCCTCCCAAAGGCGCAGGATTACAGGCTGAGCCGCCGAGCCTGGCGGATACATTTCTTAAAACTAGTTATGCTTATATCATTTAGCTTTATTTTTATTCTTTTGTGTCTTTTTTTTTTTTTTGAGATAACATCTCCGTCACCCAGGCTGGGATGCAGTTGTGCAGTCACAGCTCACTGCAATCTTGAATTTCTGGGCTCCAGAGATCCTCCTGCCTCAGCCTCCCAAGTAGCTGGGACTACAGGCAAGTCCCACCACACCCAGCTAATCTTTTTTTTTTTATTTTTTGAGTTGGAAGTCTCACTCTGTTGCCCAGGCTGGGGCGCAGTGGCACACTCATGGCCACTGCTGCCGTGACCTGCTGGACTCAGGCGATTCTTCCGCCTCTGCCTTCCAAGTGGCTGGAAACACACACACACACACACATACACACACACACACACACACAGCCAAATTTTTAAATTTATTTTAGAGATGACACACACACACACACACACACACACACTGCCAGATTTTTAAATTTATTTTAGAGATGAGGTCTCGCCAAGTTGCCCAGGCTAGTCTCTAATCCCTGGATGCAGGCAATTCTCTCACTTTGGCCTTCCAAAGTGCTGAGATTACAGGCATGAGCCACCACACCTGGCCTTTTTTTTTCTTACATTTTTTTGTAGCTATGGGGTCTCGAACTCCTAGGCTTAAGTTATCCTCCCACCTTGGTCTCCCAAAGTGCTGGGATTACAGGTGTGAGCCTGTGCCCAGCAAACTTTATTTTTAATGTGGCTACTAGAAAATATAATTACATATATAGCTCTTACCACTTTTCTTTCAGACAGTGCTAGCCTAGAACATTCCTTTCATGCACCCTAACCCATTACCCAGGACTCCTGGCTGCCACCCTAGGTGGACTGACTGTAAGGACAGTCACTGAAGAGTCACTGTCTTTTCAATGACTGTCCTTGGGCAACCCTCTCCCTAGCTTGCAAAGGTCCTGATTCCTCTGGAACATTCCCAAGACCCCCCCCCCAAGGATGCTCCATTAACGACTCATTCCTCTGTCACCACCCGACCTGCTCTCTCCCCTCTCCATCTAGGCTTGTGTTAGGCTCCTGCCCTACCTCCCCTAAGGATAGGATCCCAAGGCACCAAGGAGCCCACAGATCATGGGTCCTCCTGGGGGTGCTGGTCCTCTCTGCTCCTCTCTTCCTCCTACCTTCCCAAGCTCACCCTTGTGTCTTTCCACAGCTATAATCTTGCCCCCACTCAGCCCCTATACCAAGTATGCCGCCATGATCAACAAGGTTACGCCCTACAACTACCCAGGTGAGTGGGGGCCAGGCAGAGACTGCAGGGACAGGGTAGCCTTCCAGTCAGTGCTGGGACAAGGGCAGTTACAGGCGGGTCCTTCCCTAAGAAGGGACCAGAGATTCAGCAGTGGCATCTAGACTCTTTCCCTGTCCGACTTTTTAAACACTGAGATATAATTCACATACCATTCTGTTTTTCTGTGTTGAGTTTCTATCCCTTGCTAAGTTCTCATTTCTGAGCTTAATGGGTCTCCAGCTTTCCAGGTTTCTGTTATGCTTTCCCATCTCTGTTGGATATCTCACTCCCCTTCCCTTTCTCCCTCCCATGTCTGATTCCCTGACCCTTATTCTCTTCTCTCATCGCACCCCTGGGGTCCTGTTTCCCTCTCTGAATAGAAACTCTTCTGCACAGGGCCCTAGAGACCTGCTGGTCTTGGTCTCAGTGGCCTGCCCTCCTGTCCCACAGTGCCCCTCCGAGACGATGGGAACATGCCGGACGTGCCCAGCCACCCACAGGACCCCCAGGGCCCAAGCCTGGAGTGGCTGAAGAAACTGTGAGCTCCTCCCCTGGCAGGGAGAGGCCCATCCCCCAGGGCTCCCAATAAACTTGTGACAACCAACCCCAGCAAATGAGTGTGTGTGTGACTAGAGGTGGGGACAGCAGACAGTGGCCAAGGTGCGTGTGGGGGTCAGTTTATTGGGGTGGGTCAGTCAAAGGGCGGGCTGGCAAGGGTCGGGTAGGGCAGCAGCTTATCTGGACCCCGAGAAACCCAGCTCGAGTCCAGGGCCTCATCTGCTTCAAAGCCAAAGTCTTCTTCCACCTTAATCTGGAGGAGATAAAGAACAAGACACGAGTAGGGTTGGGAGTCTAGAAGATGCCACCAGCCCCACTATCCTGTCTTCCCAGGCCAGACAACTTCCTCTGCACCCCTCAGGGGGGCGCCAACATTCCTCCAGCTGCTCTCCCCTCCGCATCTCCCTTACCCTCTGATCTCCTCCTCCTCTATCCCTAGCTCACTTGTTATCTCTGTTTCCAGGTCTTCTTCCATCCCTTCCCAGCTCCTTTTCTACCCAAGCCTTTGCCCAAGTCCTCTCTGCCCAGTCCCAGGCATCCCCAGCCCTTCCAGCTCCACATCCTTCTTCTCTCCCCAGCCCCTAGGTAGCCCTGATCTGGCCTTGGCCCCCTCCCCTCCCATCCCCTTTCACCTGCACTGGAGTCAGCTCTGGAGTCAGCGCAGCTCCCGCTCGCCGTCCATCCCGTGGTGCTCGCCGCCTCTTCCGCCCACTGGGCCCCTCGCCAGGGGCTGGGCTGCTGGGTTCTGGGGGTGCGGGAGTCCTCCTAGGCGGGGATAGTCCCTCTTTCTCCGGAGGCTCATTCTCAGCATTGCCGGGAGTAGGGGCATCTGTGCCCTGGCTGCCCTCGTCCTAGGTGGGGGGAGTAGGGCAGGTGACGGGTGTGTCCCACAGCCATGTCCCAAGCCACAGTTCCCTACCGACCTGGAGACTTGTGCTCACCTCCAGCACAATGGTGAACTGGCTGGCCCGGTAGTCATCGCCGTAGGAGTCCAGCACCCTCATGAGGAACCTGCTCGGGAGAGAAGGAAGCCCCAGGGGATGAGTCACCCTCCAGCAGCTGAGGAGAGAAACGATGACCAGGCTCAACTCTCACTCCACTCGAAGCCACAACTACCCTTGACCCAGAAAGTTCAGAGTTCTGGAATCTACAAGGCCTGGGAGCCAAGCACTTGACCAGCCAGTGGGACCTTGGTCAAGACAAGGTGACCTTTCTGAGCCTGAGTTTCTTCTGTAAATGAGATACAACCTTGACTGAGCTGGTTGCTGCAGTGGTGACACTTCAACTAGACTTCTCTGCTAGATTTCTCTGCAGTATATAATGTGATATCAGAAGTTAGACACATTCAAATGTGAGTTACAGGCCAGGTACAGTGGCTCATGCTTGTGATCCCAGCACTCTGGGAGGCCGAGATGGGAGGATCGCTCAAGGCCAGGAGTTTGAGACCAGCCTGGGCAACATAGTGAGACCTTGGCGCCACAAAAAATTAAAAAGCAAAGCAACGTAAATGTGAATTATAATTTTCATTGATAATAGAAAGGTGAGAGGGAGGGGTGTGTAGAACACCCCTGCTGGTAGGCTCACCTCTTACCAACACTACTGTCTTCTGCCCAGTCCCTGCTTCTAAGGTTTCTTTTTTCTTTCTTTTTTTTTGAGTTGGTGTCTCACTCTGTCGCCCAGGCTGGAGTGCAATGGCACACACAGGCCACTGCAGCCTCGGCCTGCTGGGCTCAGGCGATCCTTCCGCCTCCGCCTTCCAAGCAGCTGGAACTACAGGTGCACACTAACACATCCAGCTATTTTTTGATTTATTATAGAGACGAGGTCTCACCAAGTGGCCCAGGCTGGTCTCAAACCTGTGAGATTAGGCAATCCTCTTACCTCAGTCTTCCAAAGTGCTGGGATTACAGGCTTGAGCCACAAATTTTGTTTTTTTGGTTTTTTTTGAGTTGGAATCACTCTGTTGCCCAGGCTAGAGTGCAGTGGCATGCTCATGGCCACCCCAGCACTGACCTGCTGGTCTGGTGGTCCTTCTGCCTCAGCCTTCCAAGTAGCTGGAACTACAGGCGTGTGCTACCATGCCCAGCTAATTTTTTTTTAAACTTATTTTGGAGATGAGGTCTCGTCAATTTGCCCGGGCTGGTCTAGAACCTGCAGGCTCAGGCAATCCACTCACCTCAGCCTCCCAAAGTACTGGGATTATAGGCTGAGCCACTGAGCCTGGCCAAGTTTCATTGTTTTAAAGTTCTTTTTTTTGAGTCAGTCTCACTCTGTCGTCCAGGCTGGAGGGCAGTGGTGCACGTTCATGGCCACTGCAGCCTCAACTTGCTGATCTCAGGTGGTCTTTCTTCCTCAGGCTCCTAAGTAGCTGGAACTACAGGCATGTGCCACCATGTCCAGCTAATTTTTTGATTGATTGATTGATTTTTTGAGTTGGAGTCTCATTCTGTTGCCCAGACGAGTGCAGTGGCTCCCAGCTACCGCAGCCTTGACCTGCTGGGCTCTGGCGATCTTTCCGCCTCAGCCTTCCAAGTAGCCGGAGCTACAGGTGTACACTACCATGCCTGGCTAATTTTTTATTTATTGTAGAGATGAGGTATCGCCAAGTTGCCTAGCTGGTCTTGAACCCACGGGCTCGGCAATCCACTCACCTTGGCCTCCCAAAGTGCTAGGATTACAGGCTAAGCCACCAAGCCTGGCCATTTTTTCATTTATTGTAGAGATGAGGTCTTGCCAAGTTGCCCAGGCTGGTCTCAAACCCCTGGACTCAGGCAATCCTCTCGCCTCCACCTCCCAAAGTGCTGGGATTGCAGGCGTGAGCCACCACGCATGGGCTTTTTAAAAGTTCTAACTGAGCAAAAGCATCATCTGTACCAGCACCTGGTGGAGCATCTCCCATGCCTGATCCCTTTCACACCTCATGTGCATCCTGAGCACCTGCTCTCTCCCCAGCACTGTTCCAGGTGCTGGGATACTTGAAGGGACAAAACCAAGACCCTGTGCTACAGAATGCAGGCAGCAGGGGATACAGACAATAATCAAAACACAGCAGATCAGAAAGCAGGAGGGAAATGGATGATACCTGGATTGGAACTTCAGTACAGTGGTAGAGGCCTCACGAGGAGGCTGGGAGTGGCAGAAGGCACAGTTAGTGCAAATGCCCTGAGTGCTTATGTCCTTAATGGCGCAAGGAGGTGGCGTCACAGCCGGCTGACGCAGGGCCTCATGATGTCGGCCATTGTAAGGACACTTTTACTCTGGTCAAATGGGAGCCACCACAGAGAAGAGGGGATTTGGCCTGTCTCACACTCAACAAGAACCAGTCCTGCATTTCACACAGCAGGTCTGGGGGCCTGAGAATGTGCGTCGGCAACATGCTCCAGCAGAGCACACTCTGAGGAGCCTGTGGTGCGACTCAGGTGGAGTCCAGGACTACAGTCATGCTACCTTGGCCTGTAGGACGTTGCCAAGGGAGTTCAGCCTGTGTAGCTGCTCTTAGCCCTGATGTTCTAACCACAAAGGCCACGGATCTTTTTCATAAATGCTTCTGATCTTGAGGTCTTGGCTAAAGGTCCAAGTAGGAAAAAAGGTGGGGGCCTCACCCAGACTGTTTTAAGAAGAGACTTAGAGAGGGGAAGGAAGAGGCAGGGAGGCTGGTCAAAGCAGTAATACAGACGAGAGGCTGTGGCCCTCGGTTGAGTTGGTGGCAGTGCAGATGTGAGACGACGTGGGGTTCTGGGTCTACTCTGGGGGCAGAGGCGCCAGGAGTTTGCTGGATTTGATGTGGGTAGGAGTCCACCACTGATGTGGAGCAGAGATGGGGAAGCTCAGGGCTGGCTTCAGGGGCCTGTCACAAGAGTCACGGTCTATCGGGTGGGTGACAGGGTGCAGAGTCCAGAGGAGGGCTGGTGAGAATCCAGTAGTCAGCTGCACTCAGGTGATCTAGAGAACTGGGACTCGACAGATCAGTCAGCATCATCCAGGGGGATGTGCTGTGAGGATGGACATGTCCTGTCTAAGTCAGCAGCTACTGGCCACTGTGGTGATTGCCAGGCACTTGACATGTGGTAAGAGGGACAGACAGACTGGGTTCTTCATTTAATTTGTTTTAAATTAAATGTGAGTTGTCACTTGGGGCTACTGAGCATGAGATGTGGCCAGTGGGCCTCTAGAAACTGAATTTTTAACTTCACTTTAATGAATCCCAGTATAAATCACCACCTGAGATTAACTGAGCCCTTGTGTGGCGAGGGCCACTTAGGAACCAAGTCTCTAATTTTATTTTAGTGAGTTGAAATGTACTGATTTTAAAACATCAACTTCAGTTAATTAAATGTGAGTGATGGTGTCCACCTGTGGCTGGTGGCCACCATGCTATCTAGCACAGGTTTGGACAGAAGAGGGCCCACGCTGAACCCTGGAAGCTGGAGACATAGGGTTTAGGGAATGAGGAAGTGTGGCCTGGGGGGCAGGGGAAGCCCAGACCACCAAGAACGTGCTCTAAGCATCAAGTCAGTGGGCAGAGGACCGAGGTGAGGACTGATGGTGGTCTTGGCCGCGAGAAGCCCTGACTCACAAGGCTTGTTCCTGTTGGGCGCAGCGAGTGGCAGGGCCAGCATCAAGTCCAAGGCTGGCTCAGCACACAGCCCTCCTGCTTATGGTGACAGGAGGTGCTGGGAGGAAGCTCTGAGATGAGCTGGCCCTGAGAGCTCTGGTTTCTCTCTCACAGCAGCCTTGTGATGCTGTGTTGCCCTTAGCTGATAGGAACTGAAGCTCAGAAAGGCACCAGTGCTTGGTCAGAGTTACACAGCAATGCAGTCCTTAAGACCTGGCCTGTGACCTAAGGCTGTACTCCTGCCATCCTTCATCCTCCTTTCACAGCCAGCAGTGTACCCGCCTGGCCCCGCCCCTGACCCAGGGCAGCTCTTTCTTCCAAGACCAGCTCCACTCTTCTTCCCTTCTGGCCTCAGCCTCAGCTTCAGCCTCCCCTCCTCGTGGCCTCCTGAGGGATGATGGGGAGAGGTGGCCAGAGGTAGTGTGATGGGGGCGTTTGGGAGCAGAGGCTCGGCGCCCAGCAGTGGGGTGGGGGGGTTACCTGCGCTCCTGCTGAAGCCTCCGGGTTATCCTCTGCACCTGATGCAGCCTGTTCAGGACCCGCTCGTTCACCTGGGGGAGTGGGAAGCACAAGTCAGCTGACTCCACCCCCCCACGTTCCACAGGTGTCCTGGGGCACCGTCTGTGTGCTGGGCTCTGGGAGGTGCCAGACGTCGTCCCATGCCAGAAGCCCTAGCATTCTAGCTTCCTGCCTCCTCCTGCTCACCGAGATGATGCCTGAGTCCCCTGAGCGCCCTCCTTTCTGAGGCTTTCCCCATGCTGCTTCCTCAGTCTGGACCACTCTCCCTCCCTCTTAACAGTTGCCTGATCAGCGAGTCCCCAGCTCTCCCACGAGGTCGCCACCCCCTATCCACTCTGCAGGGTTTCACTTCCATCTGATGAGCCAGGATGTGTCTCCTCGGCTTGTCTGGCTGCCAGCCTGCCACTGAGAACATGAACTGCACAAGGACAGCGATTGGCCCCTGTCTGCTAGTGCCTAGGCCTGAGCCCGACACATGGTACAACCTCAATGAACATCTGCTAGATGGATGACTTCACACACTCAGAAGTGCCTGGTGGACACCAAGCAGGTGGCCATGCCACCTAGAGCTGCCAGAGAAGACCTGTGGGTCTGGACCTAAATAGTGTTGACAGGAGAATAGCCAGGAGGAATGTATGCCAGGTGGGGGAGCGCCCCTGCATACAATTTCTGAGGACCCAGCCTAGCCACTGAGCATGGGAGACAAGGCTCAGCCAGGCAGGAAGCCTAAGACATGGATGAACTGTGTGCTCTGCCCCTGGGCTTCAGATCTCGGCTCCGGTGCTTCTCAGCTGTGTGAGCTTGGGCATGTTACTTAAACTCTTGAGCCTCAGGTTTTTCAAACTCTCAGCTTCAACTGGGAACAGTGGCTCATGCCTGTAATCCCAGCACTTTGAGAGGTGGAGGTGAGAGGACTGCCTGAACCCAGGTGTTTGACACCAGCTTGGGCAACTTGGTGAGACCTCGTCTCTACAATAAATCAAAAAATTAGCCGGGTGTGGTAGTGCATGCCTGTAGATCTGGTTACTTGGAAGGCTGAGGCAGAAGGATCGCCGGAGCCCAGCAGGTCAATGTTGGGGTGGCCGTTGAGTATGCCACTGCACTCCAGCCTGGGCAACAGAGTGAGATTCTGACTCAAAAAATTTCAGCTTCCGTTATTTAACTGCAAGTGACAGTGTCCAGGTTTAGAGAGGTTAGGTATTAACATTTTACTCAACTGCAGTTGACTTTTTTTTTTGAGTTGGAGTCTCACTCTGGCACCCAGGCTGGAGTGCAGTGGCACACTCACAGCCACCGCAGCCTCAACCCATTGTACTTAGGCGATCCTTCCACCACAGCCTAAGTTGACATTTTTAAAAACCTGAGACTCAGTGAAGTTAGTAACAGTGTTTGTAAAATGAAGCTAAATAACAGTATTCCCAGGGGTGGGTTAAGAACAGACATTCAAATAGAGTCCCTCTGGGCCTTGCCATCCATCTGTTAAACAGGGTTTGGAATAACTCCCAAGTCTTCTGACCTCCACCTCCCCCACTTCCAGAACACTAGAACACCATTGCTAGGGTGGAATTTTGTCCCCTCAAAAAGGTGTGTTGGAAGGGCGGGCACAGTGGCTCATGCCTGTAATCCCAGCACTTTGGGAGGCCAAGGTAGGAGGATTGCTTGAGCCCAGGAGTTTGAGACTAGCCTAGGCAATGTAGTGAGACCTTGTCTCTATAAAAAAAAAAAAAAAAAGAAAAAAAAAATTAGCCAGGCATGGTGGTCTGGCATGCCTGTAGTCCCAGCTTTTCTGGAGACTGAGGCAGATGGGATTGCCTGAACTCAGGAGGTCAAGGTTGCAGTGAGCCATGATCCTGCCACTGCACTCCAGCCTGGGCTACAGAGTGAGACCACCAATGTAAAAGGGGGGAAGAAAAGGTGTATTGGGTCCTAACCCCCAGTACTTCAGCCATGTCACCTTATTGCAGATGGGGTTGTTACAAGTTAAAATGAGGTCCCTGAGGTGGACCCTATCCCATGTGTCTGGTGTCTTTAGAAAAAGGGGACATAAGACATGCACACAGTGTCATGCAAAGATGAATGTAGAGAAAAGGGCGAGGTTTCTACATGCCGAAAATGGCCGACCAGCCACAAGAAGCCAGGGGAGAGGCCCAGAACAAATCCTCTCATGACCCTCAGAAGGAACCAACCCTGCCAACACCATGGCCTTGGACTATCAGCCTCCAAGATTGAGAGACGGCGAACTTCTGTTGTTGAGCCACCACCTTGTGCAACTTTGTTAAGGCAGCCTGAGCAAACTGACGGCATCATCCGCAGACAGTTTTTCAAGTATCCAGACCTGATCCTGCCCCTCCTCTTTGTTTTTTGCATGAGGGTCTCTCTCTGGCACACTCGTGACCACCACAGCCTCGACTTCCTGGGCTCAGGTGAGCCTCCTGCCTCGGCCTCCTGAGTAGCTGGGACTACAGGCGTGTGCCACCATTCCCGGCTAATTTTTTCATTTTTTGGTTGAAGGCAAGGTCTCATTATGTTGCCCAGGTCAGTCTCAAACCCCTGAGCTCAAGTGATCCTCCTGCCTTGGCCTCCCATAGTTCTGGGATTACAGGTTTGAGCCACCACACCCTACTGCCCTCCCCTGTTAAGCCCTTCAATGGTTCCTCCCCCTCTCAAGGAAAAAAAAAGTCCCACCTTTTTTTGTTTTTTTAAGTTGGAGTCTTACTCTGTCACCCATGGCCCAATGCAGCCTTGAACTCCTGGACTCAGACAGTCCTTCTGCCTCAGCTTCCTGAGTAGCTGGAAGTGCAGGCGTGCACCACCATCCCCAGCTAATTTTTAAAAATTTTTTCTTGTAAAGATGAGGTCTTGCTATGTTGCCCAGGCTGTCCTTGAACTCCTGGGCTCAAGCAGTCTTCTTGCCTCGGCATCCCAAAGTGCTGGGATTACAGGTGTGAGCCACTGAGCCTGGCCTCAAAATCCCAACTTCCTGCCCTGGTGTTCCTGGCCCACCAAGACCTGGACCCTGCCTACTGCTCCATCCTGTCTCACCAAAGAGGCCAATACTCTGATTCAGCCTGGACGGTCTGAGTCTGGGGAGGCCATGGGGCTGCAGAGGAGGAGAAGGGGCTCCAGGAGAGGTGCAAGAGACAGAGTGGATGGGTGTGAGTGAGGAGTGATTCGTGGTGGGGTGTGGGAGATCCTCGGAGAGCTGACCTGGTTGCCAGGGAAGCCTAGCAATGGCTCTCCAGGGCCTGGCCGAGGGCCAGACGCATAACGGAAGCCAAGCAGATGAAGAGTGAATCGATGAAAGAGATTCAGACAACTAGCCAAGGAGGGCTGGGCACAGGACAGAGACAGAGACAGGGAGGGGTGGCTGTTGAGGCCGGGGAATCCCGCACTCACCTACCTGCTCGATCTCCCGGCAGCGTCGACCAAGCGCCTGGTACTTTCTGCGATTCAGTTCCCGCTGGCGCCGCCGCCGGCCCCGGGCTGCCTCTTCCTCTTCATCTCGCTCCCGGAGCCCGGAGCCACCCAGACCACCCGACACAAACTCCACTTCTGTCTCGAGTTCGCTCTCCAGGATGTGGCCACCGAACAGCGGGGGCAGCGCCAACTCTGAGCCTGGCGGTGCTGAGAACTCCTCAAAGCCCACAGCTGCCATGGTCCTGAGAGCGGGGAAAGGTTCAGGGTCCTGGGTCCCTGGCCCAAGCCCTTCCTCCCCAGACCCAGGAGTCCCGGGTCCACAACTCCTCAGACACTGTAGTCCAGGTCCCCAGCCCCTCTCCCCCAGACCCCGGAGTCCAAGTCCCAGCCCCTCCTCCCTCAGACCACGGGGTCTTGGCCCCCGGCCCCTTCTCCCTCAGTCCAGGGGGTCTTGGCCCCCGGCCCCTCCTCCCTCGGACCCAGGGGTCCAGGCCACTAGCCCGTCCGCCCTTGGACCCAGGGGTCCAGACCCCAAGCCCCTCCCCACTCGGACCCAGGGGTCCAGACCCCCCAGCCCCTCCCCACTCGGATCCAGCGGTCCAGACCCCAAGCCCCTCCTCCCCCGGACCTCGGAGTCCAAGTTGCAGCCCCTCCTCCCTCAGACCAGGAGGTCTTGGCCCCCGGCCCCTCCTCCCTCGGACCCAAGGGTCCAGACCCCAGGCCCCTCCCCACTAGAACCCAGGGTCCAGACCCCCAACTCTCCCCTCGGACCCAGGGGTCCAGACCCCCAGCCCCTCCTCCCTCGGACCCGGGAGTCCAGTTTCCAGTCCCTCTTCCCTCAGACCGAGGGGTGGAAGGAGGAGTCCCCAGCCCCAACTTCCCCGGACCCGAGAGTCCAGGCCCCAACCTCCTCGTGTCTCAGACCCCTAGCCGCCTTCTCCCCGGGATGCTCTGGTAGACCCCGACCCTAAAGGGTTCCAAGGGGAAGGAATTGCATGAACTACAATCCCCATCAGCCCCAGGGGAACAGCTCAGATGGGTGCACAAACAGCCGCGGTGTCTTTGCGATCGCAGTTTTCCACAAGGCTCTGTCACTTACCCCTCCCGCTGCTCCAGTTCCATCTCTCCCAGCTCTGGACGTCTTGGGCCTCAGAACCTCCAACCTCAAACTGTAGGTTAAGCCGTCTTCGAAACTACCCGTCCCATCAGGCCTCGTGGCCGAGGACGTCGCGACGTGGCCCCTCGGCCTTCTGGGATTTGTAGTTTTCAGTTTCCGGCTTCGATTTTCTCCCACCCCCACTCTACCCCGAGTCCCAGCTTAAAGGCCTTGCTTTCCCGTCTAATGCCGCCACCAGTCATCTGAGTTGTCGCCGTCTTTATCTTGTCTCAACACTCCGTCGTCCGGCCACGGCGATCCTCCGCTTAGCAGGCTCAGTCCACGGAGGGCCGCGAGCCCGACGAACCCTCTCTCCCTTGCCTGCTGCCTCTCCGCCTACTGGCCGGGGCTAATAAAGTTGTTGTTCCAAGCGCGACTGGGCGCGTCGCGGGCGGTGGCCAATCAGAGTGCAGCTCTGCCTCGACGCCGGCGCGAGAGTGAGACGTCATCGTCTAGCGACCAACGCTCTCCGGAACTGATTTCCCGGAGACCGTGGTGAGGGGAGCGGAGACGTGCGTGCATTGGAGCCCGGGGCAGGGCGGGAGGCCAGGCGCCCGGGCCTGGGGGAGGAGTGTGTAAGGGGAAGGCGGGCCTCCGTAGATCGCTTGCCCAGGGGTCTTCGTAGGCTCCTACCGTGGCGCGGCCCTGGGAGTGTGTCCGGAGCAGAAATTGTTCCGGCTCCCGTAGCGCTTGGGTTGACGCCCGTGGGGCTTAATCAGGTAATTGATGAATGACAAATGCGTGAAGTGCCTTAGGGTGGACACTGGGTGAGCGGGAAGTGCACCACAAAGCATCCTCTTCCTCCCGCCTGGCAGGCCCCCAGCTCCTTCTCCCCCGGAATCCACCGGGCAGGTGGGCTGAGAACTGAAGATGGAGGATTGTTGGGCTAGGGGAGAGGATGAAGAAGGACCAGGGCAGGCCGGGCGCGGTTGTTCATGCCTATAATAGTACTTTGGGAGGCCGAGGTGAGAGGATTGCCTGAGTCCAGGAGTTCGAGACCAGCCTGGGCAACTCGGCGAGACCTCATCTCTGCAAAAAATAAAAAATTAGCCACCTACTTGGAAGGCTGAGGCGGAAGGATCACCTGAGCCTAGCAGGTCGAGGCTGCGGTGGCGTGAGCGTGCCACTGCACCCCAGCCTGGGCGACAGAGTGAGACTCTTACTTTAAAAAAAAACAACAAAAAAGAACAAGAAGGACCTGAGCCTTTCGGGGGAGAAACTACTCCCGGTAGGAGGGACTTGATCGGGACAAGGTTTTAGGGAACCTTCCTGTCCCTCTCCTCAGGCCTCAGGATGTCTTTGGCAGACGAGCTCTTAGCTGACCTCGAGGAGGCAGCAGAAGAGGAGGAAGGAGGAAGCTATGGGGAGGAAGAAGAGGAGCCAGCGATCGAGGATGTGCAGGAGGAGACACAGCTGGATCTTTCGGGGGAGTCGGTCAAGAGCATCGCTAAGCTATGGGACAGCAAAATGGTAAGAGGACACCAGGCATGAAGGGTGCTATAAACAGGAGCTCCCAGAAGGGGGTGATATGGGCAGCAGCTCTTTCTGAAGAGTCCTGAGTTCTGACTCTCTTCTCCTTGCCTAACAGTTTGCTGAGATTATGATGAAGATTGAGGAGTATATCAGTAAGCAAGCCAAAGCTTCTGAAGGTACTTCATGCCTCTCCACTCCCACCTTCTCACCCCTCTTTATTCTCCTGCTGGGACCCTTGGCTCTTTTGCTGCTTCTGGCTTTCAAAATTGGGTGTAGCTGGGCGCGGTGGCTTATGCCTGTCATCCCAGCACTTTGGGAGGCTGAGGCAAGAGGATTGCCTGAGCCCAGAGCTTCGAGACCAGCCTGGGCAACTTGGTGAATCCTTGTCTCTATAATAAATCAAAAAATTAGCCAGGCATGGTGGCACACACCTGTGGTTTCAGCTACTTGGAAGGCTAAAGTGAAAGGATTGCCTGAGCCCAGTAGGTTGAGGCTGTGGTGGCTATGAGTTTGCCCCTGCACTGCAGCCTGGTCAACAGAGTGAGATTCTAACTCAAAAAAAAAAACCCAAAAAACAAAAAATTTTGGGTGTATCTCTCTCAGCCTTTTCCAGAGCCCTCTTCTTTTGTGCTAGCTCAACTCAGTTTACCTTCTCTCCTAAAAATGTATTACATTATGAAACTTATGTTTTTTATGTTCTTACTCTGAACTGAGCAATTGCTAGTTGTGATAAGGCCTCTCTCAGGTATCCCAAGCTTTATTCACATGACAGGATTTTTGCCACAGCCGTAAACCATCAGTTCTATTATTTGCTTAATATTGTCTTTGAATCATGGGCTTAAGAAAAAAATGTATCTAGTGTGGGTGCAGTGGCTCACACCTGTAATCCCAGCACTATGGGTGGCTGAGGCTGGAGGGTCGCTTGAGCCTGGGAGTTGGAGACCAGGCTGGGCAATGTAGCAAGACCTTGTCTCTATGACAATAAAAATAATTAGCCAGGAGTGGTGGCATGCACCTGTAGTCTCAGGTACTCAGGAGGCTGAGGTAGAAGGATTGTCTGAGCTCAGGAGGTGGAGGCTGCAGTGAGCCATGATCTTGCCACTGCTCTCCGGCCTGAAGTGACAGAGCAAGACCCATATCAAAAAAAATGTATCTAAGAAGAAAGCCAATTGCTACTGTAAATGGAAAGCTGGTATCATTTGGTAAAGAAAAAATAACCATACAAAAAGACAAAATTATTAAATTGTCACCCAAGACTTTTTCTCACTTCCATCTTTGGGAACCGCTAGATTATCTCCCAGATATTCAGACCAGCTCTTAAGAGGGCAGTTCTAACTGGGTGTGGTGGCTCACACCTGTCATCCCAACAGTTTGGGAAGTAGAGACGAGAGGATTGCCTGAGCCCACAGACCTGAGACCAGCCTGGGCAACTTGGTGAGACCTTATTTCTACAATAAATCAAGAAAATAGCTGGGCGTAGTGGTGCATGCCTGTAGTTCCAGCTACTTGGAAGGCTGAGATGGAAGGATCACCTGAGCCCAGCAGGTCGAGGCTGTAGTGGCTGTGAGTGTGCCACCACACTCCAGCCTGGGGGAAACTAAAAAAAAAAAGAGCAGCTCTGTTACCTCTCTCATTCTTCTTGAGTAGAGTCCATTGGCAACAGGACACTGTGGGGGTTGCTGAGCAAACGAGCGGTGTAGTCAGAGCAGAGCTTCAGGGAGACTTACCCGCTCCTCTCCTTAACGTGTACCTGGGCAGCCACTGGAAGCATCCAGGTCTCTGCTTGGGGTCTAGTGGAGGGGCCGGAACTGCCCTCTTAAGAGCTGAACATTCAGTAGGTACTCCAGCGGTTCCCAAAGATGGAAGTGAGAAAAAGTCTTGGGTGACAACTTAATAATAGTATGGTTACTGCCCGGGTTTTGGACAGTTATCAGCAGGTCGTGCCAAGCTCAAGAGGCTCTGAAGCCATAGGAAGGACTGACTGACCCTTCCACGGGGTCAGGGGAGAATTGATGCCTGAGTTGAACTCGGGAACACGAATGCATATGCCAAGCAAAGAAGGGGAGGAAGAGGACCCAGGGAACGAAGGCGGGTGTACTCAGAGTCTCAGATGTCAGGAGGGCGAGGGGAGACTGGGGAATGTGCCTGATCCTACCAGACTGAGGTTTCTCCATCCAGAGAGCCATGAGGCGCACAGAGTGGCACTTCCTGATGTCAGGCCAAGCTCAAGCTGATTGAATCAGACCCCAACACATCTGGTGACTGGTTGGGGAGGTAGACATGAAACATCTCAAAACCAGGCAGTGATCCCTGTCTAATGGAGGTGGTACAGTGCCCTGGGGACACAGAGAGGGCTTCTGTTCCTCTCAAAAGGAAGGGAAGGATTCTTGGTCACCATCTGAGTTTTAAGGACTTGAACAGGCATTTGAGCAACAGGGTTAAGAACACAGGGCTGGGCACGATGGCTCATACCTGTAATCCCAGCACTTTGGAAGGCAGAGGTGACAGGATTACCTGAGTGCAGGGGTTTGAGACTAGCCTGGGCAACTTGGTGAGTCTTCATCTCTACAATAAATTAAAAAAAAAATTAGTTGGGTGTGGTGGCTCTTGCCTGAAATTCCATCGATTTGGAAGGCTGAGACAGAAGGATCATCTGAGCCCAGCAGGTTGAGGCCGCGGTGGCTGTGAGTGTGCCACTGCACTCCAGCCTGGGCCAAACAGTGAGATTTCGACTCAAAAAAAAAAGAAGATCACAGGGTTGGGCATGGTGGCTCATGCCTGTAATCCCAGCACTTTGAGGAGGCCAAGATGGGAGGATTGCTTGAGCTCAGGAGTTTGAGACCATCCTGGGCAACATAGTGATACCTTGTCTCTACAAAACAATTAGCTGGGCGGTAGTGCTCACCTGTAGTCCTAGCTACTCAAGAGGCTAATGAGGAAGGATTGCCTGCGCCCAGGAGATTGAGACTGCAGTGAGCTGTGATCGTGCCACACTCCAGCCTGGGTGACAGAGCAAGATTCCAACTCAAGAGCAAACAAAGCACCACACACATAGACTTTGAAGCCACCTTGCCTGGGGTCCGTTCTCAGCTCTGCCATCTGCTGGCTGTGAGACATCAGGCAGGGCCCCTCCATTCTGCAAATCTGGTCTCCTGTGGTTGTAGATGAATAAGTTAATACTCCTATGACACTTGGAACATCTGACTTGGGGTCAGTCCTGCATGTCAGCAGCTATAACCCCTGCACTCCAGCCTCATCGTCATTAATGCCCTTATTATTAAAGCAAAAAACGGGGTTTCCAGAAACAGGTGAAGGGATGCCAGAGGGAGCGGAAACAGCATAGGCAAAGGCCAGGAGGACGGAGCAGCCTCTGGGGTTCAGGGCACTGCAATCAGTCCTTTACGACTGGAGTTAATAAAATGCAGGGGCACAGTGAGAGGACGGGGCTAGAGAGGTGGAGAGGCCAGCAGGCATAGTTGGCAATTCAACAGCTGTCGGGTGAGTGACTCCAGTGTGCTGAGTGCTGTTCTGGGCAGCAGGTTGCAGCCATAGACAACACACGCAGCACTTGTCCTCACGGGGCTTCCATTCTTTTAGGAGGTCTTGAATGTCAGTCTGGGAACCCTACTCTTGGGTGTGGGGAGGGTTCAGTTCCAAGGAGGTAGGACAAGTCTAGACTGGTGTGGAAGACAGACTGGAGGGAGAGAGATGGGAGGCAGGGACACAGGTCGTTTGTAGATGTCATCCTGTTCCCTAGTTTGCTATTCAGCCCCTCCTTCCCACGCCTGCTTCCAACCTCAGCCTCTCCCAGCTGTGGGACCTGGGAGGGTTAGGTGTTTAGACGTGCCCAGGCTCTCCCTTGTCCTCACAGTGATGGGACCGGTGGAGGCAGCCCCC